CTGCGGATGGAAGCAAAAGGTTCTACCGCTTGATGAACTTGGATAAGTCTGAGATAGATAGATTTCATTCGGAAAGCATGCTTTCTAATGGATGTTCTTTTATCTTCCTATCTAAAACGTAATCTTTTTACGTTTTATAATCAGAAAGTTGGTATTTTACTTCTCATTCGCATTTTAAATTAGCCAGACCGAAATTGATTAAGATATAATAAATATTAATCTAAATAATTTTATTTATTAATTATCATATTTAAATAATTTTATTTAATATTTATCAGGAGAAACAGTCGAAATTGATCTATCGATGCCGATTGAATTTTTTATTCATCTGCAACATTTATTTGCGATAATTAAATCACTGTTTTTTCTTTAACGATGCATTATTAATTTAATCAGAACTGTTGATTGAGATCCTTCATTAAATAACACTGTCGGCACAACTTCACGTCGCTGTCATCCATCAAAATTTCAATAGTAACGTAATTTACATCGCGCACACATCACACACGCGTACAGATAGCCATTATACGGTATTAAGTGGCAGTTATCCGGTCAGGTTCTTATCGAAATCTCGTAATTCGAGAGAAAGCTCACGTAACACCCGCGTACAGCTGTGATCCACGACGGGCGCATCGGCACCATCCTTGCTCTCACGTTCGGCTGACGTTATCGGTGTTACGGATGGATCGCGCGCTCTCGACGGTAGACAGAGAACGGCACAAGCGATCGGGCCGGCCGGCTTTCCAGTGGCCTTGCAAACTGGTTCCCTGCAGCTCGCCTCGATTATGCTAATCGCATATGCGTGTTACCATTCGACTGATCCCGCTCGCACACATGGCACGCGTGGCTCGTGTGTTCATCGTTGCGCCATTATCCTTACACACACAGAAACGAAAAGCATATACGCACGCGTCGCACACGGCCAACGCTGAGAATCGGTATATCTATGCTGCTTGAAAGTGTGCTAGAATCCTCGAACGCGAACATCCTTTAATGCCGTCTCGATCTCCCGCCAAACTGGACATCTAACGGTATCTCCAAGATGTTCCCGCGTTTTTATTAAATTTATCGCGATTGTTTGCTGGCATATTTTTTTTGCAAAATGTGCTTTTGCATCTTATTATTTGAAATATTATCTACAGTATATGTTTGAATATTTTTATATTGCACTTAAAAAATTTTAGAATATAAATATTACTCGCGTCGAAAAATTAATTCAACAATGTGTGATATTCGATTTAAATATGAAATTATGTAGACAGCAAAATTTATGGATTTTTTATTTGTGTTCTTAATAGCAAATTAATGTTGTATTTTAAAACAATACGATATGAAATACTGATCAACATAATAATTAAATCGTTCTTCATTCTTGTTATGTACGTAATTTTCAGCATCATTAAAAATTGTGATATATGTATAATAACGCGTTAAAATGTAAATTCATTGTACAATGGTCGCTAGCCCAGACAGGTTTAATGCCCGAGAACTTCCGCCCGACGAATAAATCATATGACAGCAATATCGAATACATATAATAAATTCGATTACGGTATAATATAGAGGTAAAAAAATATTGTTATCCTGTTTCTGTAGGATGGATCATTTCGCGTAATAAAGCACTTCGAAATCGCGATATCTCATAAATATGCATCAATTGCAGTTTAATCGCTCATCACTAATTGTCTCGTACCTTCGCGAGTTCCTATCTTATTCTAAATTATGTGTTGTACATAATGATAGTTATTACCGCATCCGCTTCGCGCCCATCTTGCAACTGCTTGTAGTGCGGACCATATTATAAAAATAGTCGGTATTCGTCACATTAACATCTTGCTTGTAAAACAAAAAAAAAATATAATAATCGCGATGTTAGCTACCGCAGAAAATGCTCTTAATGATCTGTGATAATAACAATTTTTTATAATTTGATAATTTCTAATAATTGCGTATAATTAACTGAATGTTTTACGTCACGTCTTATTATAATTTTGTCTAGAAACACATCGATCCTGTTGTTTTTCTGTGTCTCAGAATATCAAAATAAGCGCGTTAAAAACTGTTAAATAAAACGTACTAATAAGTATTACATAGTACTAGGTCAAAAACTCGTAAACTTTTTAATATAAACCGCTGTACGTGGCAGCAGAAGTGCGTTCAGTTTACGACGTACTTAGTTTACGACTGTTTTACGAGGCGCGAACGACCGACACGAGCTACGAGTTCCATAACTGTCAAATCCAAGTGCCATTTATGGTCCAATCTTTAGGGATAAAGCTGCCTACAACGGTGTCGTTTATTTAATCCAGTCGTTTTATCTACATTAACCGGCGATATACACAAATCACTTTCACTCTTTGTCATTTTTTTCTATATGTTTTAATGAAAACAATGATGAGCGTCATACAAATCACTATTATTTCTCATTTAACTTGTTAATTATAAAATATTTATTTTTGATTATATAAAAATAACAATTTCTTCATCAGTCAATCCCGTACGTCAGATAATCAGAAAAAATAATTAATTTAAAATTTTATTCTAATTTTTTAGATAATTAATTATAATTATTTCAAATGCTTTTTATTACTGATTCTATATTTTTGTAAAGCGTGTGGATATTCTTAGAATCGAAAGGATGACGTAATGAACGCATGCTGTTTTTTTTGTTGGCTTGATGTAAGATGCAGTCAGCTGTTGATGTAAGATACATCTCATCTGTTTTCCGTATCAAATATGAGACGGAGATAAAGAAACTTCTATCCAGCCATTTTGCTAACTAGAGGCCATCGTAGCTATGTGACGTCACTTCCATATCCAACCATGGCGTCACATGACGCTCCACCCTGTTTTCAATCACCTTGGCCCGAACCCACCCAGCTGTCAGACACGCTCCACCCCGTTTTTTCCTCTTCTTCTGTGCTATCACTATCGCCATCTACCGGTGACATTCATGCACTTCTTAAACCCTTAAATAGTCACCCCTTAATGCTCTTGACTTGTGATCTTTCCGATCGATGTCACTACTAAACAAAGTCTAAAATATCTATCGGATATATCTTGGAATTTGGGTCAAGTAATATGTTGCATTTAGCAAGAAAAGCGACTCCTCTGTAGCATTACCTTCTTTCTTCGTATTATTCTTATTTTCAAATGTTTATATATTTCACTAAAAGTTGAAGAATAGTATGAAGAATGTAACTGATTCTGCACATTTCTCTACTATTAAATTAAAGGGCTGCCAGCGAGGAGGGGGGGAGGGGTGCAAAGCTGCGAAAAGTACGCTGTCCGCATCAATAGTATTCAGATACTTGCGCTTCAGAGGAGGATACATAAAGGGGAATTTACGGGGCGGGAATTGAGTTCAAATCCTGCGAGAGGTTGAATTTATACGCGAGGGACGAGGCGGGGGTGATGGGGGCGGAGGGGGCCAGCGAGCGCGTGGAATCGCTATCGGCGGCCATTCATCAATCCGTGGAATCAATACGCTGGAATTAATGAAAGCGCCGCGCGAACAGCAAGCTAGCGGCCGGAATGTTAATCGCGATCGTCCCGCGTCCGACCCGTTCTCATGTACAGCAAACTCCCAAGGGCCGCTCCTCTCACCCTCTCTCGCACCCTTCACGCTGCTATGTTGCCCGATGCACATTTGAGCCCGTTTCTAACCCCGTGTCTAGCACCACCCACACTGTCATACCGCTCGCAACAATACTACATGTATATCTCCATGCATATTTTTGGTTATTTTCTGCGGCGACATAAATTTTTTGCAATTTATTCGCAAAAAGCAAATGCATCATTGAATCTCGATTTTAATGACTTTCTTTCGTTAATTATGATATTTCTTAACATTTTATAAAGTCTATCACACTTAAGTTAATATAGTTTACACATTAAACGAATATGTAATGTTTTGGAAACTCTTTTTAATTAAAATTTTTAATGTCTATTTTAAAAAGAATTTTAAAATTAAAAATTAAAAATTAAAACAGAAAAATTAATTTTTACTTCAAAAAGTCATGCGACTTTGAGATCATCAAATATCGGTATAGAAGGTTCCGATCTCGAATCAGCAAGGGAATAAGGGATAAAGGAAAGTCTTTTGCGTTTCAGTCGATAAGAAACTATAGCATGATTGTTCTGATGACAATAATCGCATATTCCTTTTAAATAATATTATCTCAAATTAAAAAAAAAGATTTTTATGTTATTTAGAATATTAATTTTATACTGATTTTTGCAAAGCGTGAAAAATTGATTTAAATTGTTTAAATAATTATATTAAATTTATTTTGAGAAGCTAAACTTGAATCGATTGTTATATCAATTTTATTTTATTTTATACGTATCTTTTTTGTACTTATAATTAAATTGACATGCATACTTCAAGTTAAACATGAGTAATTTATATTAGCTCTACTAATTTCACACCGGAACCATCACAAAGCTTCCGAAAAAGAGATTAATGTGATAGGCAGGTCTTGGAGGGAGAAGTAGCCATGCTGCCTAATGGATGGAAATTTTTCCAAATTTAACGATCGCTTAGCCCGCCCACACAGAACGCTGTAATAAGTTTGGCGTCTGTGCGATGGCCGTCACCGTGACGAGCACATGTGCAACTCGCCTTCTGTCATTCAGAGCTAAACTCTGCTCAGTTCATTCAGTCCGCTTGACACAGATCATGCAAAGTGTGCCTCTAGTTGCGCGACGCTATATATTTAAATATCTTAGATTCTTCAAGATGCTACGTAACGTATTAATCGTAATTTGGTTAATTTTTTCTAACAATAAAATGATTTATATTATAATATCACTAATATTTGTAGCATGCATTTTTTTTAATTTTAGCTAACAATATATCGCAAAATTCAAAGCAATACGAACCATTTTACGAACGCCATTTTATTATTTAATATATTTTATCTACGTCTTTAATATTTTATCTATTTTTCTTACATATATGTTCCGTATGTAATAAGTTGTTCTTTTTTGTGTTACAGGTGCGGCGTAACTTCGATTGTAGGGTGGACAGAGGAACGAAACGGGTCTGGAGTGGCTTGGCGCTTTGAACGAAGGTGTCACACCGGGGAAGACGAAGGACTCTGATCTTCCGCCACCACCTCGTATACGCAGTATACTCTCCCCTCTCTCCACTTGCTAATTAAAGGTTCTGCAGTGCTCCAGTTTATAATTTTAACCACGGTAGTGAATCCAGTGTGATAAAAAGTCAAATGATGTACATGTGATCCACGATGATGGTAATTTGATATAATATACGTGTGCTTGTGCTGTCCAAGAGTGCGTGAGATGAGAAGAATCGAGTGAGAAAAAAGAGATATTCGTGAAAGAAATGCAATCCCGGAGTGATAAATCTGTATCTATGTAAAGACGTGTGCTAGTGTGTCCGCACGAAGAGTACAAAACAAAGTAAGTTTACGAAGAAAAAAAAAAAAAAGAGAACTGAGGAAGAGATTCATAGATCAGCCGGAGATAACCAAAGGAAAGTCAGTTAGCAACGTTAGAGAAGTGGCATTAGCAGGTGGGACAGGTGGGACAGTAGCATGAGTTCGTACTTCGCGAATTCGTACATCCCGGACCTGCGAAATGGCGGGGTGGAACACCCGCATCAGCATCAGCAGCACTACGGTGCGGCCGTACAGGTACCTCAGCAGGCACAGTCGGTTCAGCAGCAGTCTCAGCAAGCCAGTGAACCCTGCGACCCGAGTTTGTTACGTCAAGGAGTGTCCGCCCACCACTATGGTACCGCGGGAGGTCAGCAGGACATGCCTTATCCGAGGTTTCCCCCGTACAACCGGATCGACATGCGCAACACGGCTTATTATCAGCATCAAGAACACGGAAGTATGGACGGCATGGCCGGTTACAGATCGACGTCACCGAGTAGCACCGGTATGGGCCACATGGGGCACACACCTACCCCCAATGGACATCCGTCCACCCCCATTGTCTATGCCAGTTGCAAGCTTCAGGCGGCTGCTGTCGATCATCAAGGTACCGTACTCGACGGGCCGGACAGTCCGCCCCTCGTCGAGTCGCAGATGCACCACCAAATGCACAGCCAGCATCCGCACATGCAGACGCAGCAATCGCAGCATCCGCAGCAGCAATCGCAGCATCAGCATCTGCAGGCACAGCAGCAGCATATGATGTATCAACAGCAGCAGCCATCTCAAAGTGCGTCGCAGCAGGGACAAAGTGGAATGCATCCGCAACAGCAACCGCAAGCTCAGCAGCATCAAGGCGTCGTTGCATCGTCGCTCAGTCAACAGCAGCAAGGCACGCCTCAAGGTGCAGCAGCTTCAAACTTACCAAGTCCATTATACCCGTGGATGAGGAGTCAGTTCGGTGAGTTTCAGAATTTTATTTTTATTTTATTGCCGAAAGATTTGTGTGAAAACACGCGCAACGATATCGGCGATATTTTATAATGTAGATTTAATGTATTAAATTTTTAGTTTATTAAAAAATTTTAGCTTTATGAATTGCACAATCTAAATCGATTATGTTAGAATTTATTAAAAAATTATTTATAATTATTAGAAACTTTTTTGGGGTATCCGATTTTTTAAGTTAAATGGAATACGTGACACTTCTTTCAAGAATAGAATCGAGATTTCACTGCGTGACTAAAAGGTCTTGTAGAAAGCTAAAGTTTTTAGAAAGGCTTCTCAGGTAGCAGGTGGCCAACTTTTGTATTTATGCAACGCCACACAAAACTAGACCAAATTCGTACGACAGCCGACTCAGAATTGGCACAATTTCTTTAGATATACTGCGAACAGAGTTATTTATTGCGCCGACCTTTTAGCCTGTCCGCTGGTTTCACCGCTTGTTCACCGGGTTACAATAAGAGTTATTTCTTGTTCTCTTCTTTCACATGTCGGCCGCTTCAACTCGTAAAATCCATATATATCCATTTTTATTCGCAAAATAATTCATTGTAGTCTCATTTTAATCTATTTAATTGTATTTATTGTAATTACAACAAATGGCGTATTGTTACATAGAGAAATTATATATACTTTTTTTATTTTGAAATTGTTTTAAGATTTATTACGCAGCTCGATTTAGCTTCTAATATTTAAATTTGTGCGGAATTAAATAATATACTATCGAACATTTAAGCAGGTTATTTCTCATACATTTCCAGTAGAACAGTTTGACAAATCTTCTCACATTTCTTATGGCAGTCAACACTTTTCGGACGATTTATGGTCGCTTTAATGACGTGACAATAAGATTACACTGTCACTTAGGTAAAAGAAACCTTTTTAGACGCAGCCGATTGAACAAATTGCGGAACCCTGCTGATTCTACATTCACTTTTTCGTTCTACATTCCTTATGGATCTGCAGTTTTCAATAGTGAAAAGCAGTGTCTTTCTATTGTCCAATACCACGAAGTAGCATTTGTCTAGTAGGTTAAACAGCAAGGAGCCAAATTTTCCTTACTTTTCTTTTTCTTCAGTCGCTTGTTGCTTGTCGTAGAAGCAGCAGTTTCTCTCCGCATCTCTTTCGTCAAGTATAGATTAAATACAGATTAAGTATTCGGTAGCGCGAGTGACGTGATTAGTACTTTTTATGTAACAATATTTATGAAATTATATTTTAAAAATAATAGAAATGATCGAAGGTATGTGTCAAAGTAATTAAAATAATTCATATTTTTTTATTATGATTTTTTATTCTATATATTTTGTGGGAGCATATTAAAATAACTAATTTTATTGAAAGATAGATATTATCGCACATTAAATATATAAATTTTTAAGTAAAAATTATTAAATACAAATTATAGATTATGAGATGGTTTATAATATTTAAAAAAATTTTATTTTTATGATTATTATTTTATTTATTTTTAAGTGTAACTTGTGCTATTTTACACATATTTATATTTTATAATATCATTTTTATAATATGATTGTGGACAAAAAACCTGCAATATATTTTTTTATGAATTTTAAAATGTACAAAAATTATGAGATTATATTTAGGATTTTTGCATATTCTAAAATCCATATAAATAACACAATATTGCAACTTTTTTTACAATCATGTACATTCCTTTTTGTTTATGATTGCTCATACCATCTTTCGGTTCAGTTCAGAAGCTGATCCCAAGTATCTGCTTCAGGACTGGCCGATAAACAGTACGGTTATGACACGGCTCCACGTGGTTCGTAGTTTACTGCCTGTTAAACGAAGAAAACGGTTTGAGTCCCTGAATGTGCTCACAGATGTCGGCACGTTTAAGAATGCTCCGTCTTATTCTCTCGTATTACTAACTCTATAATTTTGTGCGTATATCCATTTCGTTACAAGAATTTTAATTAACTTTGCTCCTCACAAAAAATGTAGAAAAGCTTTCTTATATTACAATATGTTTTAAAGTAATATATCTAGTAATATGCTTTTCGACAAAATTAAATTATTTTAAATTGATGGCAAAAATAAAAAATTACAAATTTATGTAACTTTAAAAAATCTTTAAGACAATTTTGAAAAAAGCACATTGAAAAATTAAGAAATGTCTATCTAGTGTATTTCTTTGGCAATCGCTCCAATGCAAACGAAGTACAAACATGACAAGAAACAACTTTGAGATTATGCATAGTTGAAAAAGAAATTGTTTAACTTTATTTAAGACCCTTTAAAAGCTTAAAGTTTTGTCTTTAAAAAACTGTCTTAAAATTTTTCCTACAATTTTTATTTATTATGATTTTAAATTACCAATGCATTTTCAGCTTTGTTTGTTAGAAATCGGCAATATTTTGATACATTAATAAAGATGTATCTTCAGCTAAAAAAATAAAGATACACTGGTCATTTTAAATTACAATAATTTAGCAAAAGAATCGTAGTTTAATTTAAAAAAAGAAGATTAAAAAAAAAATTTATTGGAGCAAATGCATTATTGAGAAAAAAGTTTAACGGAATTTAAAAGTTGAACCAAGTTTCTTTCGAATTGTTGCAAAGTTACATAAATTTGTATTTCATCATTTTCATCAATTTGATCTTTTAAATTTGTCGTGAAATGTATTTTTAATAATTGAAAAGCATATTACTTGTAATCAGATAATATTCGCAGTTTAAAATTTTTTTTATATGCTTGTAGGAAAGATTTTAAATTTTTTCTATATTATTGATTTCTTAAAATTGCAACAAGTTTGATAAAGTTTTATTTATTTAACTAATATCATTATACGCTTTCTGCGTTTTCTATATTGCGAAATGCAATCTGAGCTAAACATTCTACAACCAGACTTTCATGAATTATGCATAGTTCTGACAGATTGCCATTGAAGTACATTTGGTGAAATCGTCAAGATTGCTTGACATCTTTTGTGAAACGCGTTACACAAGCTGCATTATAAAATAACGAAATGCAAATAAGTACAGATCTTTTGTTAGCGCCAAAGAAAGATGTCAAAATACTGTCATGTTTAAATATTGTTACGTTTAGAATATATTTGTTAAAATTATTTTATAAAAATAATTTGATTATATATTTCTTTATATTGGTTAAAATAAATTAATTTTTAATTATATATATATTTTATATACAGAAAAACCGGTTAAACTAAAGTGCCTTAAATGTCAGTCTGATGAAATTCGGAAATTTCGACATACGTTTTAATTTTTTTATCGTGATGCTCGCTGCATTGCAATGCCGTCCAACTTTAGGCATTCCAATCCCAAGTGTTGACCCGAGAAAAAGAGACCGACCATCGATACCAGCGATGCTTTTAATGCATGAGATAATTGCAATCCTCTGTGAGAAAAGATTTATGACATCTCTACTCCTTCCCTTTCGTATTCTCAATTGGCGAGTAAGCATGTCGTGATACAGTTATATACGTGTGAAGCTTCCGTTACTGCACATACACAATCGTATACAATCTTATATCACGCGTATTTGAAATAAAATTTAAAATGTACATATTTTATATTACAAATAAATTGACGCAATTTGGAACATTAAATTTTGAATTTTATGGAACAGCGATTTTTAGAGCAGGTGCGAGAAAATGTAAATTTTAATGTTATCGAAAAGCGAGTAGGAAAATCTATTGAAATAGATTCTAAAATTTTAAATTTCTTGTTTCTTTTTTTAAATATGCACTTCTTTATTAGTGATAAAAAAAGTACTAAAACTGATGACACATTAATGTGAAATTCAAACTGCTCCACATAGAACAAGTCAGAGAAACCGACATTCTAAATTCGAAATGCATTTTATTATAATCTAACTCTTCACGAGATTAGTGGCCATAATGATGGCGGCTTCGTGAGATATTCGAAAAGCGATGGAGTTCAAAAGGGGCAGGAAAGGAGGAGCTAAAAAAAAGACACGAGAATATGTGTATGCATGTGTGTGAGAGAGAGAGAAGGGAATAAAGGCGGTAGGAGGAGGTAGAAGGGACGGGTGATGATGATGAATGAATCCACAGAAATCCTGGGACCGTTCGCTTTTGGAGCTCCGCCATGGAGGCAATTGTGAACGATATGGAGGTCGTGGTTTAATTTTCTATCCGTTATTTGCGGCTAAAATGTAAGACTTGCGGCATTAAATTATCTCAATTGTATTGCATATTGATTTGATTAATTTGTTTCTTAGCATCTGGCAATTAATTCCGACTTTTGTTTGAAATAAACGCTTCTATTCGTTGCGTTTCAATTTTGAGTTTTATGGAACAGCCATATTGCTCGTATCTAGAGAAGCAGGTGCGAGAAAAAGTAAATTTTAATGCTTCAAATGATATCCGTAAAGATGCATATGTCGCGGCGAACCATTCTTGCTGCTCATTATCTCAACCTTCTACCTCGGGGCTCTTTCAGACTCCGTCTTCTTGTCTGGCTGTCTGTTCGTCTGCCCGGAAGACAAAAAAAAAGGAAAGCGAAAGCGAGGAGGGAAAACCGCCTGCCTATCAGATACTCTGGTTCTTTGGAAGTTTCTAAATTCTTTCTATGAATGTTAGCAGGCTTGACGCCTTTTTTCTTTGCCGACAATTCCTGCGGCATTCAGTCAGTTTCGCTTCAGCTGAAATATTTAAATTGTGCTAATTTTATGTTTAAATTATGGGTATGTTACGTAAATAATTGCGCATCTAAATGCAGTAAAACTAAACGTTAATTTTTATACATACTTTAAAATTCAGATTTAAAAGATTTACGTCTCTTATTTCTCATTTATTTATCTTTGGAATATCTGATAGAAAAATCACTTTAAGAAATATATTTAAATGTATGATGTTCAAAAAGAATGATTTATTTATATTTGGCATAAAAAATTAACAATTTCGAGAAGTAAAAGTTTTAAATACTAACTTTGTGGATTTTAGCAATTGTGGAGAAAAATATTTTGAGATTTGAAGCGCAATTCGCGCAATTAATATGGATATCTGTCAGCGGTGTAAATATAATCCAAGCTTCGCATACCGCGAGTGAATGATAAAATTAATGGTACATCTAGGGTATCTAATCGAAGAGCGTTTCAAGGCCTGGCCTTACGGTGCCCACGTAAAGCTTAGCTTAATTGGGCAGCGAGTGGTGGCCGCACCTTATTAGCGGGTTACAACATCCGGCTAGCTGTTAATCTGAAAAGTCCTGCGTGTATCCTGCGGCGGGCCTGAAAGACCAGTCGGGGCTGGGAGAGGAAGTGGAGATGCGGAGCAACTAGCCTATAATAAGCCGCACGGTTGTGTACGTTCTGTTCTGTTTCGTTCCTTCATGCTGCGCCAGTGAAGGCAGACCCATAAATCTCCTGGGCATACTCCAGGGGACATTTGATCCTTGCGTAACCCAACGCCGTTAATTTATTGCCCCGCGTTTAAAGTCACCTCCGTCCGCGAAAGCCGTGGCAGCGCTCTGGTACGACGGTCCGGCGTAAACTTAGGCCATCGGTACGATTTTCTTATTATCAGGAGTCACCCCGTGTGACGCAATATCTTGGAAATATCGCTCGTATCAACTCCAATAAATTACATTATTGCGAGAGAGAGATATATAATAACGCTGTTTCAAAACTGGATCTTATCTGTGTTACTTTATGAGGAAGGTATTCATTTGAGATTATATTAATGAAAAATTTAATACAGAATACACATTTGTTTATTATAATTGACATAGTGAACCATTGAATAGGATTTTTGTCTGAAATAGTCCGTATTTCTCATACGAAAATTATAAGAAAAAAAAAACTGTGCACTGAATCTGTTTTATTCAACGTTTTATGAAATGCTGCAATCGCGGCGCGAAATTGGCAATTAAAACTCATCTAAAAGCCGTACATCTTTGGACTTTTTTTGCAAAGTTATTAAGCCACTTCTTCATCTCGAGTGATATGCACTCGTGATTGCACTATCAGTGCAGCTCTTTCGGACGCTATGATTGCTATACAAGTGTGCTTATGTGTGCGCTCGGTATACGCATGCAATCATATTCATGCACGCGTCTGAGAACACAGACTACCGCTGTCTCTTTAATTAACCCTGCATGCCTCAGCATCGAGAAATCTCGTGCTCACAATATCGCCGTCTGCTGCCTAATTTTCACAGCCGGTTACGCCTAATCGAATTTTGAGTCTTCAACGATCAAATCGATCTTAAAAATTCTATAGGTTTTAGCTCATAAATAATACGGACTCGTCGATGCAACGTTTAATAATTCATTTCTTTGCTCTGCAACATCTAGTGGCATGAGAGGATTTATGGGCGAAGTGACCTTTCGAAACAAACCTGATTATTACGCCGCGTCGGCGCAGGATTATCTTTATTTGAAATTGGTCGTGGATGTGTTTCAGATGTTTCTCTTGGATAAAAATATGTGTTTAAATTTTTGTCAATAATATAAAAATATAACGCACGCGATTACAGCGCTGTCTACATTTTTTTTAATTTAATTACATTTATTCGAATTGTAAAGCACCGAGTGTAATTTAAATTCTTTTTAATATGAAATTTAAGAAGCAATTTCGATGAGTGGACTTTATTTTTAACCATTTACATATTTATTTATTTATTCCGAATATATATATGTATTTTTTATTTTACAAAGTATGTTATAAATAAATGTATAATTTTTATTTATAAATGTACATTGCAATTTTCTGGATTTTAATGCTGTCACTTGAACATGTTTCGTACATTTCTCGGACGCTTTGATCTGATCTTAGATCTAGAACATGGTCTTCATTAACGGTGTGACGAATGAATATTAATACGATGCAGCTTTCATAGTACAGTCGACAGTCAACTATGATAATATTTTGCCGGTGGCACACATTTCTATAAAAATATTTGCGACAAAACGCAAGATCTATTATCATCGTTTGCATTTCTTTATCTAACAAAGACAGCCATTTTTTTATAATATTTACTACATTTTTGGCAAAATAGTAAACTACCTTTTTAAAACAGAGTCGAGGAAGCTGCCTAAATCGTTAAAGCTTATAAGAGAGCGCTAGAGATTGGTATGTTGTTAATTTGAGAGCGTAGCCGAAGGGGAGGGAACGAGAGGGCATGTTCCCAACTTTCTCTATCCTCTCCCATCCTGCCCTCTCTGTCTCTAACGCGCACGCTTTTTCTCTTCCTCCCCATCTCTTCTTCTTCGTCTAGTCGAACGGTTCAGGAACCTACGCGACCTCTCCATCTCTCTCTGGAGCAGAACCGCCATCCATCTTCATCGGCCGACAGCGCGACGGGCGGCGTTTGCCTCGAATGCTCGCCAAGGAGTTTTCTTCTTCTTCTTCTTCTTCTTCTTCTTCTTCGTCTTCTTCTTCTTCTTCTTCACCTCTCCCCTCCTTACTTTCCAGTTCTCATCCCTGCGCCATCTCTTCCTTTTTCCCTCCCTCATACCATTCTGAAACATTCTCGTTTTGCTCTCTCGCACTCGTATAGCGGACTAAGCTAACCCTTTGAGGTTTATACCTCGTAAACTTGTGAGACTTCTCACACAGAGTCAACTCACTCTGTCTCCTTAGTATCTCCCTCTGTCTTTTCCTCGGCCTCTTTCGCTCTTCTTGGCAACCATAATTAATATTCTTGTTCGGGATTCGTGTACCGCGCACCGACCGCAGATCGTATCGCGGATATCGCTAAGGTATCTATCATATGCGGAACTGCACTTACGATCTCGACGATTTTTTTTTCAATCGCGGAGGTATTTTTCGTTTCGTTGAAGTTTACAGAAACTCCAGCTAGGTTGACACAAGATTGTGGCATTTATTAAGTACTTTAGTCAACTGGTTGCCTCCGCAACTCTCGAAGGAAAAAAATATTCGTGCCCGTTATGCCGCTTTTTATTCATGCAAGCGCAATGTCACGAAAGAACATATTCTAATATGTCATATACATATAATATAAAATTACTTCGATCTCTTTTTCTCTTTGTATAATACACGTTTAATACATGTAATAAATTACGCGTGTATATCGATATTATATAACAAATAATTGGAGCATTCAATGATTTATATTAATTCGAGATTGCAATTTGTTTTGTTTCAGAGAGGAAAAGGGGCCGGCAAACATATACACGATACCAAACGTTAGAACTGGAGAAGGAATTTCACTTCAATCGATATCTCACTAGGCGGCGGCGAATCGAGATCGCACACGCGCTATGTCTCACGGAACGGCAGATAAAGATCTGGTTTCAAAACAGACGGATGAAGTGGAAGAAGGAGAACAAGACGAAGGGTGAGCCAGGCTCGGGCGATGGCGACACTGAAATCTCGCCGCAGACGTCGCCGCAGGGTTGAGAGCTCCGAGGAGTGGAACTTTCTTTCCATCTCTCTCAGGGTCGTTAATACCTTGTTTCCAGCACTACCTCCTCCCCTACCCAAACTCCAATCCCCATCGATGACCTCCAAATGATCCCTCTAAGCAATGACGCTTATTTTATCGTGTTAATCATGTTGCTTGTACCAAAAACGAAGCAGATAAAGATGAAGCCGAGGAAGTTGTAGAAAGACCCATAAGAGCGCTTGACGACGAACAGACGATAACGGAAAGAGAGCTATGATAAGGTGAAGATGGAAGCGGAGAACGAAACAAAACGAAGCAGTTAGTCAGCAGAGGATTTGCGCATGAATAATGTGGATCAAGATTATTAATAAAGAAGAAAAGAAAACGTATAAACAAAACTGGATCACATGCTAATCAGAACCGCGTTAACCTCCATTACGTTTAATCGAATGTAATTGTACTAAAGCCTATGAACATATATATATACACACATATATATATACATATATATATATATATACATATATATATATGCGAATGGAGATGTACCGTAGTTTAATGTGAAATCGTGAAAGCGAGTGACTGCTAGTAATGCAAATAGAGCGCGTAAAAATGGCGGTATATAGAGTGATAGGTATAAAGAGTTAAGCTTACCGGAAGAATGTGATGCGCGATTGTGAGCGTGATAGAGAAGAAAATTCGCGTTGAAATCTTAGGAGAGCATTTTATTATTTATTCTCTTACATCGTAAACAAGTAGAGCTGTAGGACGAATTTGGTAGAATAGAAGTACGAAAAGATGTCCGTCGCGTCTGTATTTAGCGATAGATAAGCGGTTTAGTGTTTTTAGAGGATTTTTTTTTTAGATAGACCTTTCTTTAGCACCGCGGTGGCTCCAACGAGGATATTTAACGATTCGTGCCAAGTGTGATCTTCGAGCGTGTTTTGATAAAATCGGAGAAATGGCTTGAGTATCGGCGGGACACGGCAGGTGGACGGAAGGAAAGCGGCGTCGGGGAGAAGAGGAAAGTCACGAAGTTTCGCGTCTAGTTCCAGTAACAGTGATAACAAGTGAGTGCAAAACCAATTCCATTGGAAATCAGTGAATTCGAAGTATAAATGTAATGTTCACGGCAAAGTTTGGAATGTTGTACGAAGCAAAGGCGACAGAATGACAGTGGATAGAGGACGGATTAGTGTTGAATGATAAAGTGAATTCGAAACAAAAAAAGAAAGAAAGAAAGCAGCGCTCTTCGGCGGAGCAGAGTCAAATCGACTTGGCATTTCTTCATCAGCGGCATCGCAAGGTCAGTCTTATAAAGATTACTATAATGATACGCAATTATCGGTTAACGTTAGACTTTCTTCGTTGAATTGTCGTGTCCGCATTTTTTCGATAAATGGGATAAGTTTTGAGGGATATGAAAATTATGAGGAATAAAATTTTCACGCGCTCTTTGTTTTACGCGATCGCACAAAATTGTGCTTTCATTGATCGATAATTGGAAAAATTCGTTCCTATAATGCACATTGCTCAAAATGACGAATATAATATACATAATATACATAAGCAGTTCTTTTCTAAAAAAAGTGTCCACTGGGAAAAATATATTTAATTGTTAAAATATTTAGCATTTTTTTGAGAATTTAAAAATGCTATATTTAATTTAAATAATATATTATTTCTCAACGTGGCCGGACATGTTCAGTTTATACTTAAAACGGTTTAAAACTATTTTTAGAAAATAACTGTTTGATATTAAGCTGTAGTGTGTAATCTACGATGTCTTTTACGATGCCGGACACGTAATGTGATCTCGAATAAATTATTACCTTTAGAATTCCTTTGAAAGCAAATGTAGTAATTGTACTAAATGTATTCGTTGCAATTCTTCTTTCTCTTGTAAATATTTTTTAAAAAAATAACTCAAGAGATAAAAGTTTATTTGCATTAGTAATGATTGAAAATTTACTCTTGCTCCGCGCGACATGACGCCAAGTTACCAAGTGTTGTAATACATAGCGTATTTTTGGAATAGTATGCTTTCGGCATGAAACCGCTTGGCACCTTAATGGCGACTTGGATCTAAATTAACCAAGAGAAATTTTTTCTCTTGCAAAATATATGTATATCTTATCGTATGAGTGTATATTATCATTCCAAACAGTTATATGTTTTTCTGAGATCTTTTTTATACACGACATAATGATTTAAAGCACGTTTTATTTTGAATCTTTACATATTTATCACTAATGATAACGAGTCGAAACGTTTGTAAATATTTTTTTTTATAATCTCATGCACTCTAACGCATTTTTATCTAGCGTTGACTTATTTGCCTTCGTTTCTTCCTTATTGATTTGATAAATCCAACGAGCATTTGTAATTATGCTTATTTTAGTTATCTTAACTGAATAATGTATTACCCCTTTTATAAATTTTTTTCACATATCGTATAACGATATGACGATGAAAATATTTTTATTAAATTTTTACACAATAAAGTATTTATGATAACACGTGCAAGGTATACGTGATGAGTAAGTCTAATTTGTTATTTATATCGCGACAAGCGCGTTAAGTGTGGCAAGCGGTATCAGAGCACTCGTCAACCTGATCGTCTCGATCTGGTTCGATGAATTGATTTGATTACGCCGTATCGGGAGATCCAGGAAAGCCTCGCCACGTTGTAGCTAGGCGAGCCGATATACTCCGCCGCGGCGAATCTGTGCTGTGTTGTAAACTTAGATTCGACATAATTATTTAGTGTATATCTTGTATACACACGACAAGTAACGATATACGTAATAAACAATATTAATAATTGCGTGCTAGTTACGAACAGCCCGTCTTCTAAGTCTCGCTGCAAAAATCGGCGTCTTACCATTTTTGCATTAAAAAAAAAACCCATGGAGAAAAGGGCGAAGGAAACAATGGAAACGTGTAAACTGATATACGTAATACTTGGTCCAGCTCGCGTTCGCGCATCAATCGAGTATGAGAACGACCAGTTTTTCCTTCTCGGGAGATTTATTTATGTAAAACCTTTTGTCCTGGAGGAGCAATGAACCGTATGAAGCAGAAAATTCGCGGCGATCGCTCGCTGCCGCGCATGTTTAAAACGCCTGCGTGATCTAGCTACAATCATGGTCTCATAAAAGTAATCTTTCTTGTTGCATTTTATTTTATTTTATTGGTTTTTGTAATGAAATAAAATCTACATTTGAGTATCAAAATTATTCGTTTATGAGATTTCTTACTATTAGTTGTGTCCAAATTTATGTTTTTGTTCGTATTTTTTGTGCGGTGCAATTTTGCATAAAATAAATTTTTTTATGCATTTTGTTCTAACCAAATTACATGTGAATTTTAGTACATCAATTAACGAACGAGATCTATGTGGGATATAATAATGCATAATAACATTTGAAATGTAGAATATGCGATTCCTGAGATGTAGATATTTTTCACTTTTAGATCATGATACTGTGACCAGTATTCTAAAAGAATTTTCATACGCTTCAGAAAATTTTACATACTCGAAATTGAGATGTCGGTTCGATAAGAGATTTTATTTCAAGATGGATAGAGAGGAAAGGAAAATAAGTTTTGAATGAGATTTACTTTATTTTAATCATATCGAAATTGTAGTATATGCGCTTAAAGTTTAAATTCGAGATACAGTACCGGTCTGTCAAGTTGAAGATTGACTATGAAAATCCGACTCGGTTGTAATATTGAGAAAGTCGAATAGTGCAATAAAATAATATACGTTTAAAAGTACGACGGATCTCGGTGCTGTAAAAGTAGTCGTCGTGAGCGATCGCCGTGAATGCGAATACAATTAAAGAAAAAAAAATAAAATTTTGTATCTATTGGATAGTAAACTATTACTTAGATTTTAAAAGTATATATTATATATATATAAATATATATATAACGCGAGAAGGGAAATTCATAGTATTAACTGGAAGGAACGAAATGCAAAATATATATTTTATCTTTACTCGTATATATGCGCATAAAATTACAGATATACGTACATTTTAAACCAAGTACCGTGAGTGTATGCAAAAGTAGAATTAAAAGCTACATGCAGCAGTGTGTACGTACGAAGTATGTCACTAAGATAGTCCGTATTCGATAAGTGTGTTGTAACACCTAAAGTCTAATTCGTAAAATAATGAAATAGTATTAAGTGAAACGGGCATGTCGGTCGCAGAGCGAGTGGAGGGTGGCGGTCGTGAATTTGAATTGGATTTTTTTCGTCTAAAATAAAGAAAAACCGTATCCGCCATTTAGCGTACACCACGGGAGACGCGCAATTCAAATTTTTATTTATTATTGTCCACGATACGCGAGAGAGCGGCGGCAATGTACATAAGTCCGATCTTTCTAACTAGGCTATCCGCAAAACGCTACCAGATAAGTAGAACAAAAAAAAAAGGAAACGGAAAATGAAATATTAATATAAACAAGAAGTAATGCTTGTCAACGAACGAGTAATTTTCAGACCGTAATATTGTTTAGTCCAGTAATATTTATTGATACATGTTATATATACCGCAAAGTGGATCTTTCTGTTTGTTTAATTGATTATACAATAAATATTTTTTATAATGTACTAGATAGTTGTGTAGGTATTTGTATGTACCATTACTCTAACACATATACTTCCTTGAGTATCTCTACGAAGTAACACGGATTTGTAGAGATTACGAGAATCCTACGCTGATGTTGTACTCTCGCATATCCAATCATTTTTATCGGATTACATGTAGGTACGATACGATGTTCAAAAAAGGATGCAAAAACGTGTTTTCGTGTATTCACATTTCGATTCGACGCTTTGTTCCTGCTCAATTTAGATTCTAATTCGCGATCGTGTAAAAGATTATGTTTTTTGATCACGCAAACGTTTAATTAATGAGCCACGAAATCTCGTCCTCGTATGTGTATGCGCCGAAGAGTTCCTGACTTCCTGTCGCATTTCAGGAAAGTGTCATTAGTTTCATATACCTTTTAGATACCGTATTTTCATCCAACAACGTAAAATGTATAAACAAGCAAATTTCTCGCTCTATCATCTTATTATCCATTGAATTTAAAGTTATCATTTTGAAAAATCTGTTACTGGTTTTATCCTTTAATATTACGAAGAATATCTGTTTCCTTAAATTTTACACTAAATTGACTAATATTCATTACATTTACTTTATCTCGATATTGAATCATACTTTTTTATATATGTATAAAACAATCAAGATACAAATATATTGTTTATGCAATTGCAGTTAGAAAGATTGCCATAACTATACAAAAAAATTCCGATCTTTTACTATTTCGAATGTTTCATGAGATGTACGGTCTCATCGATTATAGGTTCCGCCATATGAAGACTGATAGACTCCGTAACGCGAGACAAGAATATTGTATACTACAATAGTCGCTAAAAACAAGATAAAATCCAAACCGATATAATTATCGATTGTTTATCGATAGATAGAAATAATTATTTAACGGTATATGGTGCGTTCAAATTATTCCAGAACAATTTTACAGATTAAGAATCATTTTAGAGCGACTTCGGATGACTTATAACATTTTTTTTCTTTTATTGATCAAATTAACGTTCGAATGCAAGCAATAAATATTATACCGAAGTTGCTCTAACTTTCATTTTGATGTCCCAGAGGACAAGCGAGATGCATTTGTATATAATTAGTCATGAAAAGTAATATAAAAAAAATTCTGTTTTTTTTTTTTAAATCTCGGCAGGGCAATGTGAAAGGCGACGTCTGACGTCGCGGCATCGAATCGCGAGCCGCGACCCTGTATACGATACCGCGTAGGTAAAGTAGGTACCTGGTTACTAGACTAAAAAAAAAAATCCTTACAAAGTAACGGTAGCAGAGGTCTAATTAATTACTATTTATTGATACGATATAGTAACGATATGCACACTGTTGAGTTTCTCGAGTAATTCAATTACTCAGTGACTCGACGAATAACTAGAGTAAGAGGATGACAATATTTCGAGAGCCGCCACGTTGTCGTCCGCTGATGTGCTTACGGTCGCTCCAGTGTGTTGCGCATGAATCCGATTACAAAAGATTCTTCATCAAAGTTCCCTCTAAAACGTTGGTATTTACTCAATATCACTAACGACTATTAATTAAAAAATAACCCATGTTAATTAAAAAAAAATTAACATTGCAAATTCCAACTTGTTCTTTAGATTAAATGGATTTGAATAATCTTGACGGAATGTGTGTCCTGGTTGGACAATAATATATTTAATATTTACATGTAATGCGCTTGAGCAATTTTTACGAAATGTAATCATCGCAGGATCATCAGAAATCGCGAGATTATGTTAGAAAGTACGGGAAAGAAGTTCCGGATACGCTACATACGAGACAACAATTTGGAAGACAAGTCGCAATTTATTTAGACGAAAGGGATGCTATGTCGCGTTCCATAAAAGTTCGGGTTAACATGTTTTCCTGAAACATGACGTACGATCTGCGATTAGGTTTGCTATCTCTTAGCTACACACTTGAGTCACCATAGTTACGCATTGCCCCGACCGAAAACAAAGTGTATGTATCATATATT